AGAATGAGGAAGATTAACATGAGTGACTTCTGCGGTGAAACTAGTACGTCAGTAATCTTCTTTGAGAGGTTTTTTTTTTTTTAAGAAAAATTAAATAGTCAACGTGTTCAGGAGATTGTGTGCTCTGAGCGTAGCGTCCTGTCACCTGCCGTACTAAACACACGCTCTGAAGGTAGGCTAGCTTGCCAGCTACTTATAAATGATCTAGTCAAATGATCTACCTACTATAAAAATGCAAAACATATTTATGTATAAAAATATTGAGTATTCTTTAATAATAATAATAATAATAATAATAATATTTATTATTATTACTATTATTATTAGGCCTATTTTCCATTTTGGGATAAAGTATTTTTTAATTGAACTGGGATTTTAGTTCCTTCACCTTTCTATTTCTCAGCTCGCTTTTCGGAGGGAAGTTAATGTCGTAGTTTTTATGAACAGTCCGAAAATGCCGCTCCACATTTCCCTTCTTCGGAATGGCAATGGCAGACTGACAGATGAGGCAAATTCACTTCGAATATGACATGGTGGAAAAAAACAGTCCTCCTTCCATTCCGTATGGAAGTGGTAGGTTTTTGGCTTCTTACTTGGTCCCCATTCATTTTTATACCCTTTCGTAAGTTTAGTAGAAATAAACTGGAAGCTAACTAGGCGACTTGGTAGCTTGCTTGAGATTTGCAGCAGCTGGCGCGGTTGAACGCGTCATCCATCCTCTATTTTTTCATGCCATACGATCTACCCACACTACCTTTGCAATCCACCAGTAGATCGCGATCGACGTATTGGGCAGTCCTGGTGTAGACCATGTATACGTCGGAGTGGATCATGAAAACAATACTGGAACAGCTGAGAAAAAAAAAACCGCTTGCATCGACATTTATGCGGTCACGTCGATGCATTGGATCGTTTGCCGCTGAATCGATACATCGATACAAATCGATGCATTGTTACACCCCTAGAATAAACAGTTAGAAGATGGATGGATGGATGGATGGGCAATGCAGTCTCCTGTATTCAATTTCACCAGCTTCTACAGATGCATGATAGTATCAACTGCTTGGCCTGGGACCACAGAGCCAACACAGATAACGGTCCCTGACTTATGAAAATGTCTGTATTTTACATTTTGTTTCTTTAATGTTAGGAAACACAAATTTCACATCAGCATTACATCTGATGAATCATTTAATTACAATGAAATCCATCATATACAAAAAAACCAGACATGTATATATATTCTTCACAGGATGGTAACTTGGACCCATTTGATGCATAAATAACCAAAATGTTTAATACCTGAACTGTAAAAGTACTTAAGTATTATGCAGTTTAATTACTTATAATTAAAAATACAAGAACATCCATAATATACCGCACTGAGAATGATTTTTCATTTTTTTAATGATTGAGGACACCATCAACCAAAAGTAGTCCTCTAACTACCACATACAAAAGAAAACTGGGTTTAAAGACTTGTTTTGGTGATTTTAAAAAGCAAAAATTACTTAATACAAATCATAAAAACCAACTAGTCTATTTTGGTTCTGAGGCAATTTTGCGTGCTGAGTAAACAGTGGGGGATTCCTCAACCAGTCAATACACAACAATTCAGTCCTATTCTCAGAAAACCCTTGAAACAAACATCCCAAAATGAAACTATCAGACTTGTTGAGTTTTATCCAAATCCATTCTCACCATATTTACAGACATTAATGGAAAAAGTGGAATATTTATTACAAATATTTAACTCAACCCACCACCTTCAAGAAAATGGCTTAAAAATCTCATATGCAACTTTTTTATGTAAAATATTTGACAAAAATATCAAGAATAAAGTTTTGGATTATAGATCTATAATCAAACACAGAAAAACCTTTACTATAATGTTGACACAGTGCATTTCTAATCTCTTAATCCATGGAAGAAATTTACAGCTAAGGTTATCAAAGCCACCGTTACCTACTTCTTTGCAATTATCAAATCTGTCATTGATAATTAAAAATTACAATTAAGGTTCATTGTCATTTTAGGGATGCTACCAATTAAAGTTTAGACTGATCATTACAGTAGAGTTTAAATTAAAGTGATCTGCAGGCAAAAGGAACTTAACCAAACCATAACCTTAACTTCAGTGCAGACTGAACAGCAGTGAACTTTGCAGTTTATGGTTGAAGTCCGCATACCTGAGCCACAGTTGCAGGAGGCAAAGTCAGAGGCCCTCCGATATGAGGCTATTGGTCTTTGCAAACACTCTAAACCACACGTAAAAGTGCAAATTAAAAGCCCATTATGATGGACGATGACATGGACAATTCAACTCAGTTGGATTCACTGGTCACTAGAAGATTGTTTTGGAAGCACCTCCGAGTTGAAGGTGTTACAGCTGGTTCCTGTGGGCCTGAACAAGGTAGCCCTTGGACTTGATGATGCCTCTGCTTTTAACAATAACAGAGTAGCGGAGAACCCATGCCAGCTCCCAGGTGGCCGTCTGCAGCTCCGGGGCACAGCCCTGCATTGCCTTCTGGAAGCTTTCCGCTGAAATCAGTTCTAGAGAAACAAATGCAAAAGATTGATAGCCTTTAGCATCTCCAAGTCAATTCCCCTAAAATACGCCAGAGACATGACTTTCCCCCATTACTGTCAAATATCAACTAACAAGCACTTTCAAAGGTGACGAATTACAAGCATAGGACTGTTACATTATGTTACAAATAGGTAAATTAGTTACATTATGATGGGTTTGAGGCACCAGTTTATACATGAGCAAATGGCATGTACAGTTAATCTTCTAAAAAACTGAATAAGGTGTCTCGCTTTGACAGCTACTCTGACAGGTGGATGAGCTGGTAGAACGACTGGGAAAAGATGGATCCCTCTCCACACTGGCCATACTGAAGGCGGCGCTGGCATTTCAGCCTGTGCTACGCAGTCCTGACACTGATTGGACGTTCCTTCTTTACGGCAAAACCTAGGAAACTGCACTGGGGGCAGGCAAGTAGCCCACCCTGATACAGCGAGTTGCTGCACCCACCACACAACGAACCACCTCGGGGGAGAGAACCCGAGTGCAGCCATGCGGCAGGTGATACCTCAGCACACTTGTTCGAATGGAACGGAAGTGTGAAATTTTTCCCAGTGGCTGCAGCGCCAATCCTTCTACCTTGGACCACACACCCCTTCAAGGGACAGCCAGAGTCAAGGACACCAATGCCCTGGGTCACCAGGTGCTTCTTTATATTCCAAGACTTCCAGTTTGCAATAGAACACCATGCCAG